TAAATTAATTCTCATTAATTCAAAATTGATTAGAGTAAATAAAATAAATAAACCTATTGACAACAATAAGTGTATATTATTAAAAACATTTACTATTTTAAAAATTTAAATTAGATTATGACTAAATTTATTTTAATATAAATCGAGAAATATTAGTATAATTTAAATAAATTCAAATTAGTTTGAAATAATTTAAATAATATAAAATAAATCAAATAAAATTGTTAGAATAATATTTGAATTAGTTATGAAATTAATTTTGAAGTATTATAAAATTAAAATTTCAGTTTATTTTGCTTAGATTTAATAAATTAGAGATAATTTTAATTTATTTAGATTTATTAAATAATGTTTATTAAATAATTTTCTGTTTTTCATCTTATCTAAAGCATCAACTTTAGTTAGATAAACTAGGAATATTTTAATATTTGTATATTAATCTGATACAATTAAATTATTAGACCTAAAAAACTAACTGATATTAAAACTAGTGCTATAAATTGTCAAAAATTTTGCAATCAATTAGTTGTCAACTTTTTGATTATTTGATTTTTATTTGATTTTAATATAAATTGCTAAAATTTTTTAATTGATTATATGTCAACTTTTCAATTAGTTGCAATTTTGATTTTCAATTTGTAGCACTAATTAAAACTATTAGAATTTCTTACTTAATGCAGTGCTTTAAACTTAATTATTTTGAAATTTATAAACTGAAGTATACTTATATATGTATGATAGAAATAGTTTTAGAGTTAATTGAAAGCTATTAAAAGTTTTTAATAAAATTTTTAGAAAATCAATCATAGGTCTGAGTTTAACAAATATCACTATCTTGCAATACTTTTATTTTACTTAAATATAGGATCAAATTATCTATAAATTTCAATATAAATTTAATTTATTTAAACTAATTTGAACTAAATAAAAATAATCTTAATAGGAATAGGATATTTTAAAAAAACTTGATAGAATTAAAGATAAATCGAAGTTATTTAATTTGTTTAATATAATTAAATATTTTTTAAAATATTATTAAAACTTTTATTTTGTTTTTTTTTTTTTTTGGTATTAAGGTGACCTCTTTGGTCTGGGGAACAAAAACTTTTATTTTGTTTTTAACTAAATCAAAACAATTCGAATTATTTTTAATTTACTTGATAAGTTTTTGGTTATTAATTTACAGTATTTTTTTTTTTATTTATTTATTTTTTTTTTTAACTTTGGCATATCTTGCCAGGTATTTATTTTAGTAATTAATTCATGTGTACAAATAATACTAGCTAACTAACATAGATGGTAAGTAATAACTCTAAGCCTGTCAGCAAATAGCATATAAGAACTATTTCTAAATAACAGGTGCCAGTATCATAGAACTAATGATTACTGAAACACCTAACCCCACCCAGTTGCTTTACTAAGCCCTAGATGTGATAGCCGCATCACTTAATTGTGAAACTGCACTGAACCTCAATATTGAAGCCAGTGACTAACTTTTTGCTAGAGTACATGTCCCACTCATGTATTCACCCAGGCTTTGGTAACCTACTGTCACAGCTTGACCTATGCACTCAGGATCAGGGCTAACCATTGAACCTCTTATCTAACTAGTATCAATTATGCTGCTATAACCAAGTTCATATCTCAAGCTACTCCTAAGGGTGCTGCCACTATCTAATCCAACAAGCTACAACCTTTCTAATTAGACCGTTACCTATTTCCGCTCTTGTATAGGTTTACAACAACTCTGGTACCTGTATTTAGACCGTCTTCTTACCCAGATTCTTTATCAGTCCCTCTCTTACTTCCAGCTAGCAACTCGGAAAGGTTGGTCTACCCAGGCTTTAGGTGCCTGAAGGATGCCCTCCTCTTGGTATATACTTTCGGAGCGTATGTCCTTTTCCCTGGTGCGACAACCCGGCAGTTCAGCTAGTGTATTCTTCACCATTAGGACCTGGTTACTCGGTTCTCTGATCTTAGGCCCGGTTCGAATTCAGCCCTCTTGTAATACCATTGTAGATCATTGCTACTCCTAACTTGGGACTTCCCAAATGGGTTTTTAGTTATACCAGTTCCTCAGATTTATTGTGCTATTGCTCCCATTACTAGATGGTATAACCGAAGTTACAAATTAGATCCAACCGATAAGCATAGCCGTTAACCGAACACAAGCCTAATTTTCAAAAATCATTGTCTGTGGGATTCGAACTTTAGACCTGCCACTTGGAGAGGGTGACGACTAGACCACTACACTAAGTCACCACATCTCTAAATTTGAATTTTCATTTTGTATTCTAATTATTAAAACAAAACAAAAATTTACAAAATGTTAATTCTATTTTTTTTTAAAAAAAAGATAGTCTTTAAACAAAAAATAAAATCCGACACTTACCAAGTATTGTTGGCTAATTTTTATTTTTAGCCAAATTTGAATCTTCAGATGCCTATTTCACCTTCAAACCTTTTTAATGAAACCAAAGTCTACAAAAAAAAAAAGATATTAGTTCTAGTTTGAAAAAAAACAAAACAGGCCCAAAACAAAATAAAAGCTAGTACTTATTTTGTTTAATCATTTTTAGTTCTTCTTCTAAATTTAAAATTTCAAATGCTTATTTTGAATTTCAAGCTATTCTAACAAGATCTAACTTTATAAAAGAGAAAAAAGTACTACAGTCAAACCTCTATAAATGCAATGTGTACAGACCAGCTTCAATCATGTATTTAAAGAAGTTTGTATTTAGAGAAAGCCAATCAAATTGCAGCTTTTAACGTTTGGTCTGCAAGCTTGTATAATACAACTTAAATACTGAATTCTGATTGGCTATGTGCATTTAGAGAGGTTAGTATGATATAGAAAATCTTTTAAATGAATATGTATTTAGCATTAATGATTTCTTATAGTATTGTATTTATAGAGGTTGTATTTATGGAGGTTTGACTATATTATTTTTTAAAAAATAAATAATTTAAAATAAAGAATAAAAACTACTTACTTGAAAAAAGTGATTTATAAAAAAACCTCTAATTTAGTAAAATAAATATTTATATAAATACTTAAAAGCCATAAGCAAGTGCATTTTTATTTTAATAAGTAATTAAAGTACTCTTTATTTTATTATTATTATTTTAACAAACACTGTCTCTTTAGTAGAATATACAAGGATATTTAGTATATCTTTAGTAACTTCTTCCTAACTAGTACTTGTTATACTGCTATTACCAAGTTCGTATTTCAAGCTATCTTTTAAGACACTATCTTAACCTGATCTGTATTTCAAGCCACAACCTTTCTAATTAGTCATTCCATGTCACAGATATCTAGCTTCCTTCTCTGCGATATTATAGTTCCAAATATCTGTACCAAACCTTATGACCCAATATAGTCATATTAACTACTATTTACTTCACTGTTGGTTATCACATTTTATAATATTTGCTTATTTCGACTTCGTGTCTTCAGATTATTGGTTGGTAGGGTATGTCTATTAAAGTACTCTTTAGTTTTTATCTATAAAAAAGTAAAACCTAGTTAAAATTAAAAAAGTTTTTGGCTTTTGTATTAAAAACTTGACATTTTTTATTTCAATTTAGCCAAAATAAAATTAAATAATAAGAGTGTTTTTTATATCAAATGAAAGCTTAAAATATAAAGAATAAATCTTATAAGATTTAAAAGTATTATTTATTATAAGTTCACAAAAGTATTCTTACTTGAAGTTATATAGCCTTATATTACACAAGATCAATTTATTATTAAAGATTATTTAGAAAAACATGTCTTATGTCTGTTAAATTTAGTTTAATAATTATTAAATATTTCAATTTAAAGTTTAAAAAATTTATTTTCTATTAATCTGGTATTTCAAGTTGATTAAAAATTTTCCAATCAATTAGTTGTCAACTTAGTTGTCACATGTTTTCAATAAATTTGATTAGTATAATAAATAGCACATGTTTTCTGTAGCATTTCAAACTATTCTTATTGGTTAAAAAATTCTACATCTTAAATTTATTATGTAGACAATCAACTAGCGATTAGTTGGTTAAAAAATTTCCAATCGATTAGTCAACTAGTTAGTTTTTCAACTAACGATTTGGATCACTATATTGACCTCTCCCCATATTTAAAAAAATGATGGCGACCCGTGATTAATTTTGATTGGTTGAAAATGCATAGATCGTTAATGAACATCACGTAAGCTGCTGGGTAAATCGAATGCTCTTGTTATCTCAGGCAGTATTATCTTCATCTATTTCAACCAAATTTGGAGCTTTAATGTTTGATTTCTATCAGGTTCAATGCACATTGTTGAAGCTCTTACTGTTTTACTCCTATCAGGTTCAACAATGCGTATATAATGTTTATGACACACAATTGTCAAATAATCATAAGATGCATATGTTCCTTTTTTCATATGCTAATTTGGTAAATTGACGGAAATAACCTGTTTCAACAGAACACGGGCCTTCATTTATTGAAATTATAATTGAGATAGTCTAAAAATAAATTTATTTTTATTATTTTTTTTTTTAGTACGTATCTAAAGTATCTAAAGAGAATGGGCAACATGCCGATAATATTACAAAATGCTTATTAAGAATAGCGCTTCGATACGTAGTATTTTTATTAATTAATACGATTAATTATCATTCTTATTTATTAAAGTATCCAATCGGAAATTTTAATTATGTATATCATTTCATAACCAATAAAATCCAGCTTGACCTACGCTTCCCTACTTTCTGTAACAATTTCTGAAATGCAGAAAATCATCGGTCCTGGGTTCGAAGTCTACGACCCAAACTTAGAATAATCAAAACAATCGCGTGATTTTTAATATCAATTGTTTTTGTAGAACAGTAAAATTGCGATTTTGATTGGTAAATTAGTTACGTGACGTGAAAATTTTGTCACATATGCGTGTTCGCGTACATATGTCTATAAATATTCCGGTCGTAAAATTTATATTTTTTCATTATTTCTCACTCATTCAGCTAAAATGCAGTGCGACTTGACTGGGAAGCATAAAAAAGATAAAAAGGTGCTTAATAATGAAACCACTGAAGATGCAAAGGAAAAGAAAAAACGAGAGCTTGAATGTGAAGCAGAAAAAGAAAACGTGATGAAGGAAGTCGAACAAAAACTCCCAAAAGCTAAAGCGAAAAAAGGTTAATATATTAAATTTGTTTAAAACAAATCATTGAATTAATACGTAATATAATTTCTTATTCTTTTACAGCCAAGTATCCAATCGAAGATTTGGAAGTGCCACTTGATCTAAAATCTATGTTTTTAAAAAAACCTTTATTGAGACAAAGATTTAGCGTTCCACAAGAATCTGTGGGAACCATGCTAGCAATTTGGAATTTTTTAATGATGTTTGGGTAAATTAATGTTTACAAAAAAAAAACTTTTTTTTGGTAAATGCTTAATCGACTATTTATCTACATGTAATAGGAGGTCGCTTTCCTTGTCTTTCTGTACACTTGATGACTTTGAATTGTCACTTTGCCATAATGTAGCAAATCCCCGCTGTAATTTAGTAGTCGAGACGCACGTTGCATTATTAAATGCAATTATTAGAGATAGATTGATTTCAAAGGGCAGAAAGCGACAAATCGTTCCTCGTAAAGTTATCGCTAGAAATAATAGTAATGAAGAGGACAGTGATAGTGAAGATGAAACATATTCCTCTCGGGAAATATTAAAAAAGTTAGAACAAAAGTGGGATAAAAGACTAATTTCTCTTAATGATGGACGGAAAGGTTGGGTGAGCGTTCTTATCGGATGCATTCAACAGGTAATTCTAAAAAATTTTCATCATGGAACTTATTTTCTTCTGTTTTGTAATCAATTGTGTTAATTTAGACCTTTCTTATAGTTAAGTGCGCACGAGTCCATGCCGAATTTGGATTCCATACTTTTACGCTTAGTATCGAGTAAATTTATTTTGGAGAAAAATTTTGAAGAAAATTTTGCGATTCTCGAAGTGCAAGACAAACTGCAAATTCTGAGCTTTTTAGTTAACATTACAGCAAAGACTTCAACCATTGATAATCACATTGAGAGTTGTGTAGAAAAATTAACAGAGCTTAATAAAGAAAAGAATAGTATAATTAAAAAGAAGCGACAAATGTAAAGTATTGTTAATCTTAATTTCCACCAAGTAGTTTTTTTTTTTTCTTTAAGAAAAAATAGTAACACACCATATAGTTTATCATCCCTCACGGAGATTTCAAAAGGCAATATTCCACCTGAGCCAGGCTTAGAAACCAGTATCAATGCAAAAGACAATATCCCACCCGAGTCAGGCTTCGAAACTAGTGTCAATGCAGTTACATCGGATAATGTAACAGTAAATATAAATGACTTGGTGGGCCAAAAACTTAAGTTGGAAGAAGAACAGGCTACGATTCAAAAAAGAGTAATTATATTTTAAGTATTGAATATATGTTATTATGAACTATTATGAACCTGCGAGAATAAATTTTATCTACAAATTTTTCAGGAAGAGGAAATTGAAATAGAAAAGCGCAAGTATGCGTTTCCACGAACTACGCCTTTAGGATATGATCGCTTCTATAATAAGTACTACTATTTTGATTGCATGGGAGAAGCAGTCGGAGAAATATATGGTGCGGGGAGAATTTTCGTAGAAATACCTAGTGCTCATGATTTGCAGGCAATGACTGAGAAAGAAGAACAACGATTTAGTAAAAGAAGAAAAGTTGAGGAAAATGAACACAATTTAAGCTCTGATAATCAAACACAATGGGGATATTATGAAGACGCAAACCAGGTTTAATTACGTATTATGTTTGAGGGTAAACCTGAGTTTTTTGTTTTCGATGCAGATTAAATATTTTATTTAGATAACATACTATGTTAGGCAATGATCTGCATCAAATAAGGTAGCTCGGGTCAGGACCGATGATTTTAACAGAGAACTGCGGAATTTTTCTTAAAAACAGCCAATTACAGAAATTCGTCTACTTTGTTACTGTAGAATGCACAAATTTAAAAGAAAAAAATAATATCATTAAATCACAGAATTTATAGAATCTAGTCTTAATCACAGCAGAAAATCATCGGTCTTGCTTAGGTTTACCCTGTTTTATTATGATTTAAAATGCATTTATTTAATGATATAAATACTTTTATTAGATTGATGAGTTGCAACGGTGGCTTAACACCAAAGGATCACGTGAATTGGCATTGAATAACGAATTAACGACATATTACCGAGATATTACTTTGGGCATGAATATGCGACAGCAGGCAAGAATTCCTTAGTTAAATCTTTTCATTATGACATTAATAAAATTATAACTTAAAATTTTCAAATCGAATAGGATCTAGTCTCTTCACGCACAGATCAAGATTTACGAAGAAGTAGACGTACTAAAGTAACATTGGCAGTACAATCATGTATGAAGTGGACAAATAAATTGGCTCAATGATATGTGCCTAAAATGGTAATTTCTTGATCTCCGTTATGCAATAGATTTTATAGAAATAATATTATTACTGTACGTAGACATTCATTTATTTATCTCTTTTTTTGATTTAGTACGTACGTACTTATGACCATCGAATTTAGTGAATCCTGTTTACCGATTATTTTTTCTTCTGCGTATAGATCAAAAATTATATGACAACGTGCATATATGTAAATCCATTTTATATAGAAAATTGATATTGGATGTAATTTTTACACTTGCATTATCACCATAATAATAAAAAATGCGTTGTTATATTTTGCTAAGCTAAATATATAATTCATGTTTTCTTCACAAACTATTATGTTTATATTTATAAGTCCTATGGTTCTTTAAGAATCTTGAAATCAAGTTTATTTTGAAATGCAATTTAAAAATTTGGTTTAATTTGAATTATGCAATTTTTATAAAGTTTAATGTATCATTTTTTATTAAACGTAACAATTTTCTTGTAGACTATTTTATTTATAGTTGCATTGTAGTAGTGCTTTTCAGCTTTGATGTTATTTAGCATTTTAGAATATAAGACTTTAGTAAAGCCGAACAAATTTAATTTCCTGATTTCCATAACGTGAAGTTTTTAAATAGACCCGGCCGGCATTTTTTTATCTTTTTTTAAATTTCATATATAAATTTTTTTAAAACTTATTCGATTATTAAAATATATAGTAATTATTATAGACTATAGATTTAATTTTGTATATAGATTTTTTTAAAGAATCTAGTTTTAACACAATTTTCATATAAGCTTTAAATAACACTTTATGCCTAATATTATTTTATTACTTATTTTATATTTGAGTGTTGCCAAAAGAAAACCCGACAATTTAAATATAATTGTCGGGTTTCTTTTGGCGACACTCATTTATAAATTCTATATACAGTTATAATCTTTTTAATTTAATAAAGTAAAAAATTTTTTTAGCTAAATTGTAGCTTAGACTTAAAGCTATACATGCCGTAGAAAATAGTTGCGGCTGTGTTGAAAGTATTTAGGCACCGATTTTTCGGTAGAAATAAAGCCGCAAGTTATAATTTATGCTGCAATCCGAAACAAAAGTCGACATCATTAATAAATTTTAAAGGATTTATAAATCGAATTATTTAAATAAAAGAATATTATAATTTATCTCTATAGCGATATATCGCTATACCTTTAAAAAACTAAGTTAATAAAAATTTTATATTTATATTTAATCTGAATTTTAATCGCATACAAATTATCTATAATAAATTGATCGTATTACTATAAATATGTCATGATTATAAAACTTTTGCGTCATAATAATTAAATTGTAATAAAAAAAATTGCATCATAATAATTAAATTGTACTAAAAAAAATTTCGTCATATTAGTCTAACTATATAAAACTGCTAAAAATTGCTATACGATAACTTTTTTGACTACTTTTTTGATAGTTTATTTGTATTAAACAATGGATAATTCAGAATTAAGTAAATCTACTGCCGAATCTGAAACAGTAACTTTATATGAAGAAAAAACTTTTCAAAGTTGGGAGTCGTGTGAAACTTTTTTATGTGAATGGGCTAAGAAGAAAGGTTTTCGATTAATCAAAGATCGAGTAACTTGTGAAGAAAATACGAGCATTTATATGTGATCATAGTAGAAGCTATGAATCTAATTCAAGTAAAGATACAACTTCGAAAAAAATGAAATGTCCATTTTTGGTTAATGCATCATATCCTAAAACTAAAAATCCCGAAAAGTTAGTGTTTATTACTAAAATAGTACAAAAGCATAACCATCTTTTAAACAGTGAAATAATCGAATTTGAGGAGTTGAAGAAATTTACTAAGGAGATGATAGATGATATTAAATTTATGACTGTTTCCTGTAAATTTGGTGCTACAAGCCAGAGACGATTTCTTGAAAATAAATATCCATTGCATCCTATTTACTCAAAAGACTTATATGCAGCTATTAGTAAATTTCGTCCAACACAAAATTCATTATCAAATGATGCATTTCAAGTTTCAAATTGGCTTGATCAGCAAAAAGAGCTTGACTCCTGATGGTATATTGCACGGAACTGGGATGATGATAATGTTTTAACACATTTAATGTGGATGACCCCAGAACAAATAGAAAATTAGGTAAAATATTCTGACTGTGTTCTTAATGACAATATACACAAAACAAATCGTTATGGAATGGCCTTATCTCTTTTTGTTGGATTTAATAATGAGCGAAATAACATATTATTTTGGGGTGGTAAATCAACTAAGTAAATCAAAACTATATTAGCAATATTAGTAATTTTACTATAATCAGATTTTAATCA